GGATGGTGTTCAACCTTTTCAAGGGGTAGCATATGATCAAGAGTCAATGATACTGAAGGAAGAAGTCCAAGGTGTACTGAAGGCACTGACAAAGAACAAGGCTCCAGGAACTGATGGAATACAAATTGAAATCTTTCAACAAACTGATGCAGCATTGGAGGCACTCACTCATTTATGCCAAGAAATTTGGAAAACAACTACCCAACCAACTGATAGGATTAGATCCATTTCTGTGCCCATTCCAAAGAGAAGTGACCCAATGGAATGCAGAATTCATCGTACGATATCACCAAATCATCAGACAGTATTATTAATCTCATATACAAGTAATATTGTCTAACGAGAATTCAAACATGGCTGCAACAGTACTTTGACAGGGAGCTCTCAGAGGTCCAAGCCAGATTCAGACGAGGATGTGAACGAGGGATATCATTACTGATGTCAGATAGATTTTTGCTATAAACAGAGAATACCAGAAAGATGCTTACCTGTGCTTTAGCAACTATGCTAAGGTTTTCAACAATGTGGATCATGACAAAGTATGGACAGCATTGCAGAGAACGAGTATTCCTCAGTACTTAATTGTACTCATGAGGAACCTGCACACAGAACAAAAGGCAGCCGTTCAACAGAACAAGGGGACCCTGAATGGGTTAAAATCAGGAGAGGTGTGTGGCAGGGTTGTATTCTTGACCATACTTATTGAACCTGTATTTTGAGCAAGTAATCCAAGAAGCCAGATTATATGAAGAAGAACGTGGCATCAAGACTGGAGGAAGACTCGTTAATAACCTGCGATATGCAGATGATGCAACCTTGCTTGTTGAAAGAGAAGAGGACTTAAAATACTTACTTACTGATGAAGATCAAGACCACAACCTTAGGTATGGATTGCATCTCAATGTAAAGAAAACAAAAATCTTCACCACTGGGCCAATAAACAACATCATGATAAATGAAGAAAATATTGAAGTTGTCAAAGATTTCATTTTGCTTGGACCCACTATCAACATTCATGGAAGCAGTAGTCAAGAAATCAAATGATGTATTGCATTAGGCAAATCTGCCATACAAGACCTCTTTGAAGTGTTCAAATGCAAAGATGTTAGTTTGAGGAATAATGTATGCCTTATCTAAGCATGGTATTTTCAATAACTTCATATGCATATGAAAGTTGGACAGTGAATAAGTCCGTAGAAGAGCAGATGCATTTGAGTTACGCTGTTGGAGGAGAATATTCAAAGTACCAAGGACTGCCAGAAGACCAAACAAATCTGTGTTGGAAGAAGTACAGCCAGAATGCTCCTTAGAAGTCCATACTCCTTAGAAGTCCATATAGCGAGACTCTGTCTCTCATACTTTGGACATATTATAAAGAGGAACTAGTACCCGGAGACAGATATTATACTAGGTAAAGTGGAGGGTCCGTGAAAAAGAGGCAGACCCCCAACAAGGTGGATTCATACAGTGGCAGGAGCAACGGTCTGAAGCTTAGCAATGATCGTGAGAATGGTGCCGTCTCGGGCATTTCATTCTGTTGTGTATCAGGTTACTCTGAGTCAAGCTGAGTCAACAGCACCTAACAACATTCCATGGAAAAGACTGACGCTGTCAAAAAACCTTCATTTTTCTTGTTTCCACTATCAACGCTCATGAAAGCAATAGTCAAGTAATTAATAAATAACATATTGCATTAGCCAAATCTATTGCACAATGCGTCAAGAAAAAATGATGTCAGTTTGAGGACTAAAGTGCACCTGACCCAAGCCATGATATTTTCGACAGCTGTATATGCTTTTGAATATTGGACAATGAATAAGGAAGACCATAGAAGAACTAATGGATCTGAGTTATGGTTTTAGAGAAATATTCAAAGTACCATGAACTGCCAAAAGAAAAAACACATCTGTGTTGGAAGAAGTTCAGTCGGAATGCTCCTTAGAAGCCAGGATGATGAGACTTGGTCTCTCACATGTTATCATGCATGTTATCACAGGGACCCGTCCCTGGACAAGTACATCATACTTGGTAAAGTGGAAAGTCAATGAAAAAGAGGAAGGTCTCTAACCAGATGGACTGGCACAGTGGCAGGAGCAATGGGCTAGAACTTAACAACAGCTGAGGATGGCACAGGGCCGGGCAGTGTTTCCTCCTTTCTGGGATAAGTCGCTATGCATTAGAACTGACTTGAAGGTAACCAGCAACAATTGGCTATCAACCAACTCTATGGCGGTGGGCTTGATTTGGGGTTACTAACATCACAGAAGTGTCTCTAATGCTATGTTGTTGCTGTGAAGTGCCATCGAGTTGGTACCAACTCATAGCAACCCTATGCACAACAGAACGAAACACTGCCCAGTCCTGGGCCAACCTCACAATTGTTGCCATACTTGAGAGTCCATTGATGCTGCCATAATCAATTGGTGACACATAACAGGAGTTACCATGATATTCATTGTGGTAAAATTTATAAGGGCAAGGGAGAATAACCCAGATTACAAAAGTTTTTGTTGGTAATAATAAATACAACATAGATCAAAAAGCAATTAATTTTGTTTCTAATTTTAAATAAAACAGATGGAATTACAGTCATGCACTGCTTAACATCCATGATGCTGGCTGTGAACTAGGACGTGTGTTAACTGGACGTTGTGCCAGCCTGCCGAGCAGCGAGTGGAGCACTCACTGACTTTCTACCTTCACATTGCTTCATAATCTTTACACAGCAAAGCCAGGCGGGATACTGTGGGCTGCCTGCATTCACAAAACACCCAAGATCCTATGCATACATGGTACTATAGTTCAGCTGATGTCTCTGGCAAGGAAGCACATGGGTTGAATAGGTTCATACTGTGCACAGCGCAACCCATGATATATGATGCTGCTTTGTTAACAGACACGAGTGTAAAGAGAACGGAGCACATCACACTGAAGTGAAGCTTGCCAGGCTAAAGAGTGCTGGGAGAGTTTGGAGGCTGTTGCCGGCAGAGTTCAGCACTATCCAAGATGCTGCACTCACTGTTGTTGTTAGGTGCCCTTGAAGGCACCCTCATAACCACCGCTGCAGCCATTGTGTTAGTTCAGCTTCTTGAAGGTCATCCTCTTTTCTGTCAGCTGGATATGCAATGAATACATCTCTTACTTTGTTTCTACAAACTAATTTCAGGCAACTTTGTAACTTCTTGTTTCAATGTTAAAATTTTGCCTTTTTAAATTTTCACGCAAAGACTTCCTTAGCTCATATCGCACACAATTTAACAAGAGGCTCCAGGTCTTCGGTCTCATGGTCCTCAACTTGGCCACAGTGTTTCACTGGGAGATCTTCAGGTGGGGTGTCACCAACAAGGACCACGGCATCTCTGGCGATGCCTCAAGGACCTGGCCGCGCTCCTCTTGGAGGTGCTGTCTTCTCCAGGACTAGGCACAGTGCTATGTGCGTTCTCTGCTCTTCCTTTTCCACATATGTGTCTTTTCGAGGCAGCCAACTTGGCCTGAACGTTCTTCTCTATCAGTAAAAAGCATTCAGTGACTGGATTCGTTTCTCCAGCCAACTCTAAGTTCAGCAAAGGATTTGGTGAACTCCTTTGCATCAAGGGAGAAGAGTGGAGAGCAGGACCCTACACAGAGAAGCAGTGAT